CCCTCCATCCTTCTCCCGTTTACAAGGCCCGTAAAATGCAAGGGGAAATAAATTTCGGTAAAAGCAAAGTGCCGGAGGCTTCCAGTATGAACATCCTGTCGGGTATGGAGCACCTGAGTCCAAGACTTAGATGCTCTCGTAGGGAAACGTTCTGTGGCTCTAACAGTGGATTTACCTACGCGTTCGTATCCTCCTCGATACACTTCTTCTCTCGGTAAATTCTAAAACGTGTTAATACCAATAAAGAAACTACGAAAGCCAAACGAAGAGGTATCGTGGATCGTATACTTGAGTTACAACTTTTTACGCGATCGCGATAAAGCATCGAAGGTTAAAAGAAAGGTTGCGCGTGTCTGGGGAGAAAGGTAGCGGGAAAGACGATGGAGGAAAAGCAAAGGAAAAGAGAGACTAGGCAAAGATGCGAACGCGAGGAAAGAGGTAGGATCGGAAAGAGGATGCGAGAACTGATTAGAAATTTATAAAGAAACATATCTCGCGACGCGTGCCTTCGCAAGAGGGGTCTGCCCTTTGGATTCACCTTCGACCTCACCCTATCGCTCGGAACGTTCTCGAGCTCGGGCTGCAGCGAAGGAAGCACAGAGAGGCGTAAGGAAAGGGAAGAAAAGGAAAAGGAGGAGACGAGATTCGCTACTCAACGGACGAGGAAGGAATGGAAAAGAGCGAAAAGAGGAGAAGGGATGGGCTGATTGAAGCGGGCATGATGTTTAATTCAAAGAAACTGAAGACACGCCCCGCTAACTGCGGAGCATAGCCGCGCCATCAACCACGAAGAAGACTGGACCAGAAGAGGGACAAAAAACTGAAAAAAGATGCCATGATCCTCTTTGCCCTCCTGAAATCTCCCTGGTAATTGCTTCCTTTCAACGCAATATGACTTTACGCGTACACGGTAGACACCATCGGCTATCAAACCATCTAATGTTTCTGAAATCAAACACGTGGAAGACCATTTTTCCAAGGTCAATCGGGTCCAAGACCTGTTCACAGCGTTACGTTGCCTCGGCGATCGATGATGACCGGTCGTGTTGCGTACAATTAATCGGTTTCAAATTGCACAGCAATTCCGCCATCGCTACGAACGTCTACCATTTTGTCTCCGGTGCAGCAATTACCGAGGTTGCATTGCAGACCTTCCTGTGCGCATGCCCTCGGGGCTAAAAGGGTTAAAGTCTGCCCACCCTTGGCTGGAAGGCAGGTCTTGGAGACCTATAATTTCTTCCTTACGTTCTCGTTGGCTCGTGAATTTTTGCTCTTAATACGATTGGAATGTTTCGCCTCTAGTCCATGTTTTCCACAAGCACATCGAAAGCGACATTAATCACTCGTTGATCACTTAACGACGACGTGGAATGCGTAATGAAACATTTCTTACGTTTTCCGGTTTCCGTTTTTCCTTGCATTTCGTCCTTGTATTATTTATAATTATACGTGTATATATTTCGATACGTGTAGTATTATCGATCGATCTGACTATCGAGACATCTAATGAAAATTTGTGAACGGTAACAAACGAAGATTGCTCGTGAAAGAGTTAAAGCGAGTAACCGCGGTTTGAGCAATCTCAAGGTTCCACTGTAATTGCATCGGTTACTTCATAAGAATCGCCATTTTACTCGTCCGTTTGTCAATTGCAGCACGGTGTAACGCGTTCCAGTGGCATAATCTTGTCACGCGGTCAATACAAAGGCCAACAAAAGAAAAAAAATGAAACGGAGCAAGCAACGCTCGTACAGTCACGTTATGATTAATCGGATAATACAACATCGTGAAGCGGAAGGGTGAACAAATTTGGCTGGCTGCTGCCAGAAGAGCGAATTACGGCGATTTGCAACCGCTTCGTCGACTCTCGCTTTTCATTAAGTCCACAATCTCTTTTTTTTTTCTTTCGTTTTTTAAGACGATCCTTACACTCCGGCCGGCGCGTGGTAACCTTGTTTTTCTCCCCTCCTTCGAAACGCAGGCCACGGCAAAAACTGACCCCCGGTTCGTCGTTGCGAATCGACAGACACACGTGGCTCGACCTATGCGCGTGCGTTTTGTTTTGTTCCAGCGCGGGTTAACAAAACGTACACGCGAACCCGCGAACGGAAAAAAGTGTTGGAAAAAACCGGCCGAGACAATACGCGTGCGCAGCTGGTTAAACGCGGAAGGGTTACCGATTAACATAAAAGGGTGCCATTACACGGCGCGGGACGCAATCGGATTCGGGCCACGCTTAACAAGCCATATTTATGCGCCGTTTTTGCGACAGAAAAACACACATGGGCGTGCCTCGCTCGCTGGATCAGCTACCCGCGATCAAACAGTTCTTCCGCGGAAGTAATTCGAGAGTGATTACCCAGCAAAGTACCGCGAGGCCCGTTTCTCCACTTTACAAGACACTGTGTATTTTTTCATTTATTTATTCACGATATACGTACATACTATACTATACTATCAACCTCGTATACGAGTCTCGTAAAAATTCGCTTTTTACAATTGTTACCAAACTCCAATGAAAATCGTGAACGCGACTGATAAAGACGCTTTCGTGAGCCGAGAAGAGTCGAATCGGCAATTTGTCATCGACTCTTGGAGCGTTTCAACGCGACCGTCGAACCGAAAGGGCGCAACAATAGCAATAATCGGTCGCCTGCCGGGAAAGTTTCGAAAAATCACTCCTCCGCGAGAGAAAATAAATCAAACAAAAGGATAAGAGCGCAGTGGAGTCTGCGGTGTAAATCGAAAACCGAAGAGAGGGGTAGCTGAAAATTGTCGATGGAGTTATAAAAGTGGGCACCCGCGGCCTCGTGCCACCCCACCGAACGCGTCCCGACGCCAGACACAGTGGTATAGGTGTCCTCCAATTGTGAACAATACATTATTTATGTCTGGTTCGACGATACCGAACGGCGGCATCCAAATTCCTTTGTAATGGAAACGCGTATCGTCGTTTCGTCCTCGACTAACGATATAATTTATCAAGGCTTGCATCGCTATATCTATACACAAATTAATCGAACTTTTAGTAATCGGTAGAACTTTTTTATAGTCGACAGAACTTAGGATTCGGAGTCACTTGTTCAATTGTCGATAATGCTTTAAGCAAATCATCGAATGTCTTTTTCGTTTTAACCCTGATTGAATTATAGAAGTGAGTTTTTAGTTAAAAAGAAAGAAAACATACGACATGGAGAGTATCTCGAAAGAAAAATAAGTTTCAACGAATACTTACCGAGCACAAGAAACCTCTTTTAATGGAACTTGCAAAACTTGTATGTTTGTTTCTCGCTCTCGTGTATCGTGTATGTACCTACCTTTCGTACGCAAAAAATCTGTCCTCTCCTCCTTTCTCCGATTTAACCGTTTCCCTGGTTCGAGTCGGGAACAGATTCGTTCGCACCGTATCTAGAAAAGACCGTTGCAACTTCTAACGTAACGTACTTGTTCGGATTACAGAGTCGAGGGTACTATTCTAATTTACTAGCAACGTATGCAGCTCTCGTTCGCTGCTGCGAATCGAACGGAATCTGTCGATACAGTGACGTTTCACCTTTCCCGCGTTTTGTGCACCGTTTTTTCCCGCGTTCTTTTTATCGACGTATGGTTATTCTGAAATGTACTGATCAGCAGCGCCGCGGAAACAGAAAAAAAAGAAAAAGGAAAATGAAAGTGCGAATGGAGGGAAGAAAAGGTGCGATACTTATACATATGCGCTGCTGGTTCGCGGTAATACAAGTAAAAAGTGGTGCTCGTTAAATTACAACAGTTACAGAACTACGAGTCCGGATAAAGGAAAGCTAGTGAACGAAACGAAGCCGCAATCGGGAGAGACAGAAGGCGGCCTTATATGCATACGAGATCATTCAGATGTCAATCAAGAATCGAGACCTTTCAACTTTGGGGTGAGGAAATCGAACTTTTTCCGAAAAAATTTACGTATTCATTCACGCGAACCACCACCGTGTCGCGAGTATATAGAAACACGGGGTGAGAGAAAGAGAGAAAGAGGGAAAGAGGGTGGAAAAGAGAAAAGGAACTCGAGCGAAAAGTCTGTTTGCTTTTTTTACCTCTCTTGACTTCATATTTGAGGGCATATTTTTTGCGCCAACCGTCACGCATTGTTAACGTCAACTTGCGTTTTTTTTCGTGTGTCGCCAACGCGTCACCGTGAAAGAAAAAACGTCGAATAAAATGAAATGTACGGGCAACTCGAATTCTGCGGTTTTCTCGCCGTTCGATCGCATACTACATTAATTACATAATTACGTTCACCGCGTTTAAATCTTACGTAAGATATTCGCATGAAATTTTGTAACTTTAATTACTCGGGATAATATGTACATATATGTATGTATACATATTGAGTATTGGTTCGCATTGGACGATAAAATACGAGAATAGAATTCGAAGAGGTATTTGTTAATAATTTTGTCGCGGGTTTTTGGGACGAGACATTATCGGACCGTGTATTTTCCACAATTGGAAAAGCGCGTGATACACGACCAGTTCGCTCTCGTCTCGTGTTTTCACAGTTCCTGAATGCGGGATGAATATATCGGTCTGCTTCACCACAAGTCAGCCATTATATCGCTTTTACGTTTATAAAGCTGTCACTGTCGGCTCGCGCGTCATTGTGAAAGGTGTATTATGCTTTAATAATGAACAGCATCGCGCGTCAGATTCATCCGGGAGGTATAGAAACGTACCAAGTTTATTTTGTTTCTGGACACTCGAAACCGATGCCGACGCGCGAAATGACATCATGGATGAGAATCATAATTTTATGGTCCAAGTAATAGCATTCTACATTCATATTTTAAACACCGAATCAAAAATTTATTCCAATTGAATTTAATCGTTCACATTTTTAGAGAAATACAATAGTACAATAAATAACATTACAAATGTATAAGTAAGATAGCTATACATTTGTTATTTATATGATTTTAGAAAAATATAAAATCAAAGTAACATTACTTTGTTCAATTAAGTACCGTACAAATATAAGCATCAACATAAATATTGCATAGACAATAATAAATTAATAAGTGATGCAATGGAGCGAAAGTAAGGTGAAAATAAATATCTCAGGCCCATGAAAACAATATAATAGTTTTCTTGAGCGATTATGTTCTTAACGCGCAAAATTAATACTATGTTAGAAAAGATTGTTATGCACCGTTTTGCATAGAAGTAACGTATTCGTTATATTTTTTCTCTTGCGCTTGCTGCAATTTTTGCAGTTTCTTCATTTGTCCTTTGCTAAGTTCTTTACCATTGATATCATGCGTTGGTATACCCTAAACATAACATTTTATTGATATAGTAATAAAAAAACTATAGAGTAAATCCTCAAGTTATGTTGATTTTAATCGCACAACTCAAGGACTTACTGCATACACCGGGCCTGACGAATTGACCTGACGCAATTGGTCCTTCCCCTCCCCCTCGCACAAGATACTGAGCCCCTTTCTTATACTCGCCATAGTTGTATCTCGCACGCACTCTTGCGCAGGCTCTTGTCCCTGGCATTCTTGATGGTGGGGGGAATCTCCTAGCCGAAGCAATAGTTGTGTGGCCCACAGCAGAGTAGTTCGTCAGACCTGGTATACATCGATTACCAACATGTAACTTTACTCACGTTACTATCAAATTGAGAATATTTATCCTTTTCTAACTTAAACATCTCTGAGGGAGGAATTTTTCTTTGTGCTTCTTTTGCTGCAGCTGCCGCGGCAGCTTCCGTCTTCCGTTTTTCTTTTTCCAGTGATTTTTCAAGTTCAAGTCTCTGTTTGCATTCCCTCTCCTTTAAAAGTTCCTCTCTGTTTACTAGTTTAACCGAACAGTTTTCTTCGTTGCTATCTTCCAAACGTACTCCGATATTTGGTAAAGTCTCGTCACGTAATTTATCACACTCCTCAAGAATACTACTGGCTTTCAAAATTTTAGCTTCGTTTCTTACTTCTTGTCGGAAATTTGCCAGAATTTCAAGATATGGCATAACAACATCTTCAACCTGATTCGGTAAAACTTGTAAATAATCATTTATCTATGCGGTGAATATAAAAGATCATGAAACATACGTTCACATCTGCAATCTTATCATCAAGTGGGAATCCAATAGTATCATGCGAAGATGATATTGCACCAAATATAGTAAATATTTTTGTAATATAAACCGCAACGTCCCTAAGCAACAGTGTGTTAGGCTGTTTACTTTGGTTCATATAAATGTTGCAGTGTGTCACTAGATCTCTGATTGCATCAAGCGCGCTCCTTGTATCAATATTATCTGTAATTAAATGTATAACGATTGGATATATTTAACATGGTGCAATTAGTTCTAAACTTACCACACAGTGCATTATGTACAGAATCCTTAGCGTTACAGAACTTTGCATTTAATTCCATTTCGGAATTTCTCCATTTAGTAAAAGTATTAATATTTGTTCCCGTGCTCAAACATCTAATTTTACACTTTACGTTTAAAAAGAATTCCTGTCATAAAAATGACGAGTTTTAAATTACATGTATAATATACGTAGTGTTTCAAGGAGATGCAACAAGTGAAAATATATAAATCCCTTGCGCGTAAAGAAATCAAAATTGTTTGCCAGTTTGCAATCTGATGACTTTTGGTGTATGTTATTTATATCCAAGCTGATCGCGCGTACTTACTGTACACGCGATAAACACGCGTCGATGACGTTCGCACGCAGTAAAAACAATAAAATCTTTCCCTTTTTCTACCTCGAAAACCAAATTTCAGATCGCAAAATGGTAAAAGTTTATTTCGATTTGATTTCGCACGAGGAATTTATATATTTTCGCTTGTTCTATTACAATATAATATAATCATATTACAGAACAAACGTTCGACCTACATTTAAGAATTTTTCATATTGAATCGCCATGTGCATGGTGTTATCGCTATAATCTAACGTATCTTTCCACGAATGTAGAAGGAACGCAAGTCTGAGCTGCCTTGCCGAATGTTTCTTTAATGCATCTTGTATAGTAATAAAATTTTTTAGAGATTTTGACATTTTACAACCTGCTATGGTCAGATGACCAGAATGCAAAAAATATCTAACCCAATTAGAATTATCAAAGTATGCTTCTGCTTGTGCTATTTCATTATCATGATGCGGAAATTTTAGATCCACCCCTCCGGTGTGAATGTCTAAACTATCTCCACAAATGATAGATGCCATAACTGAACACTCTATATGCCAACCAGGTCGTCCATTACCCCAAGGACTTTCCCACCATGGTTCTCCTTCTTTTGAATGTTTCCAAAGTGCAAAATCTATCGGTGACTTTTTTTCAGATGACTCGGAGGCGGTCAAGTCTCCTAATTAAAATATCGAATAAAAATGTTATGTAAGCATTTGAAAGAAATCAACCATTACCTTCTCCTTCTTGTAAACTTGACGTATCACCATATGCCTCTGGTACAAGTTTAGCGTAGTAATGTTTCTCTTGCTTATCAAACATAGCAACGTCAAAGTACACGGAACCATTACTCTCATATGCGTGTCCGTTTTCTATAATTTTTTCAATGAATGCTACAATCTCGGGAACATATTCGCTAACTCTTGTCAAAACATTTGGTCTTAATACCTAAGGAAAATTATTTTGTTCCCAGTTTCTTTCAACTTTAAGTCTAAATTAAAATAATTAAATTCATAATTATTTTTAATCTTACATTTAGAGCATCCATATCTTTATGAAACTCTGATTCCCAATGTTGGGACAGTTTGTTGAATATAGAGTGTTCTGTAACTGTAACTCCTTTTTTTTTATCCAACCAGTCTGCCAAAGGATCTCGTGCTTCTTTTAACAACAACTACATTTATAGAAATTAAAAACATAGTATCGTTACATAATACGTACGTATAAGGTAACTAAATATTTACAGATAACAAATTAACGATACAAATAGAATGCACGTACTTCTTGGGATTCCTTCATTTTGTTTTCATCTTCGAGTTTCACTGCATTTTCAAGACTTTCAATGGCCTTTTCCACATTATTCAACATTTTTTGTAGCATACACTTCTTATCCGTATCGTGTGTAGTTTTCACTGTTTCTTCAAAGGTACGCATCACGCTTTTCGCGTCATCCAGAATTTCATCAAGGGTATGAGTTTCTTCTATATATTTCTCGTACAAATAAGTTTGCCTGGCTCTTTTTATAATTTTATCATCTATGTCGGTAATATTCATCACATATAAAATATCATATCCAAAGTAATCGGATAAGACACGTCTTAGTATGTCAAAAGATATATATGATCTACAATATGAAAGGAAATAATATGGTAACATACCAAAACATATATCGATATATGTATATGTAATATTTAAATATAATTATTATAAGCATTTAGTTACCTGGCATGTCCCATATGTGATGCATCATAGACAGTGGGTCCACAACTATACCACAATATGCGATTTCCAAACTGTGGAACAAATATTTCTTTGTCTCTAGTTAAACTATTATACAATTTAAGAACCACGGTATTTTTTCTTTGTGGTGGAACCCAAGGTGACTGCACTCTCTTTGCCATTTTTAAACTATGAAATTAAGAAATACCCGATAAGAATAAACTAAATGACATACTACTTTAACATGTGTGAAAATATTTGAAATAAAAAATCACAGAGTAAAACTTACCTCTTTCAAAATTCTTAATAATGCCAGTTTGTTTAAAAATCGATACACCTTGAAGAACAGAATTCACGTGGCTGGAATTATCGAATCATGTTCGAAAATCGGACAATCAAAACTGACGTTAGTATGTTCTTTTTAGTTGTACTAAGTAAAACATTATACTGTATCACTAAATTCTTAAGCAACGTGCGGATAATGTTATAAAATTTCAAATTTGCATCATCAATCTCTCTAACCTAAATAAAGTTTTAATTTGAATAATATAACCACGAACCAACACGGACGTACTTAGTAATACGTGGACTGGGCATAAAATTCGTCAATGGTTGAAGGGATAATCTGAGCTTCGCAGTAAAGAAAGAATTATGTAGTTCGCCATGTTAAGACCAATGATAATTAAACTACGAGAAGCTTATATGTTCATGCGCGGGCATTTTAGGAGTACAACAACGTAGCTTTAGGAATAATGAATAAAAATTTTCGATAATTCGAAAACTAACTTCTGTTTAAATTTCATTCGTTCATTAGAATTAGAGATCTTTCAGGTAGTTAATATAAACCTATTATAAAGGTAGCACAAGTCACGAAACCAAAAAGATTGAGAACAAACTTTTTGCCTATAATGTGTTATTCGCCAAGATATTGGTATAAAAAATCCTTTAATGAATTTAATTTACGAATAAATTTGCAAATGTTAGTTTTAAAAGCCCATTATTATCGTTGTTTATTAAAAATTAGCACTTTACGACACTAAAATAAACAATTTATATCGGTCTAACTGGACCCGAAGTCCGAACATTAATAATTCGTGCAGAGATTTTGTAATAAGAAACAATCTTTTGCTTCCCTACGTTATTTTTATTCCAAGTTTCAAATCTCTTACATAAAAATTACAAGCGTGTTATCATACATATACAGATCATAAAACATCACAACCCTACAATATTAAACATTACTTGCTGAGAAAATAATATTTTTTTGCCTTAATTTGCTAAAAGTATGAGTTTCATTACAAATGTCGCGTTCACAAGTTTCCGTAAAATTTCTCCTTTTTAAATTAAGTCGTATGTTTTGGAAACAACATACAATAAAATTTCAATACTTTGAGCAACTAAAGTGTAGATATACATATGTATATACACAACAAAATTGGATTACAATTGAATTGCTTATATATTTTTAATGAAATATGCAATGTGTATTGTTTCAATAAATATTCTTTATTAATATTAAGAATGTAAATAGTATTAAGTAGAAATTAGTAAAGATGTTCGTAAGTACATTTAAAAATTCTTATAATATGCATCAAAATATTATCTCTGTATATGTATATTTAGTACTGTGATTTTTTTTTAAACATAATAGTCAATATTCATAAAAGATATAAGTTTTATATATTTAAAATTTATAGTAATTTGATATACTAAACATATTCAAAATTGCATATAAATAACATGTAAAAAATTCTGGAATGTATATTGCATTTTCGCTTGTGAAATATTTGTTCTGTTTCGTATATAAAAATACTAATTACATTTTTAAGACATACCTATCTTTTGTATTTTTTGTAAAAGTATTTCTCTATTTTTTGTTCGTTCCTTTTATCCTGATCTAATTAATAAATAACTTCGATTAACAGATTTGTTGTCACTGGATAATTATCATGTAACAGATAAATGCAATAACTGAATGCAACTAATTTCTTAAACTGCTATACTTTTTCTATAATTTAACCTGAATGAAAAGCTTTGTAATTTATTAAGAGCACTATCTAATTTCGGATAATATTTTATCTTTCCAATCTTGACTCGGTTTGATAAATTCTAAATCACTAGCATCATCAGAACTTGACATATTATCGTCATCAAAGTATGGCTTTGTAATTTCATCTTCAGGCACATGTCCTGAAAAATACACAATTTTTACATTAAAAAGTATAATATTTTTGGTATTGATAAGTTACACTAACAATTATTCTAAAAATATAAATATACAATTTTTCAATACCAATAACATTTACCTTTTAATGGTCTTCTAAATATTTCAATTTCTTTTTCGTCGTCGTCGAAGAAACTTGTACCGTCTTTAAGTAAACTAAATGCATATCCTCTCCAATTATTTGTTTTCGGTTGTTCAAAAGACTGACAATTGGCACAAATAAATACGCCACATGCAATAATTCCTAAACATACAGTACCTGTAAAAATATGATTCATAATTAATTTCCCAGCGATATAGTATATTACTCGAGAATATGTGATATCTTACTTATTAGTATAATAAAAACAATTCTAGGCATTCCCAGGAACTTGTCGTTAAATCGTAATTTAAATATTAAATTTGAAATATTATGCACATCCGTTGTGGCCAAAACTTTCGTCTGCTGAATATATCCAGGAGCTTTGACACTTATAACATGAGTACCAGGTTGAAGTAAAAGCCAATAAGCTCCGTTTGTTCCACTATTAACACGGTGCATTGATTTGTTGCATGATAATATAGCATTTTCTACTGGTTCGTTATTTTTATTAAGAACATATCCTTTTATTCCATCATTAAGCTTCTCTACCATAGCTAATAAACCAGCTTTGTTATTTTCCCATACAATTCTTGAATCATCTGTGTTACAACAACTAACATATGCATCTACCATTAAAGTACTTGTATTTAAATAAAGATAATCCATTAAGGAATGTTCTCTGCTCCCGCTAATACCCTTTCCAGCATGAACAATTCCATTTCTATTTATATCTAAATCATGATTGCAATATGAATTTAAAGAGGTCATATGGATATTGTTTTTCATATATACCGATGCCAAGTCTTGCAATATATCATCTTCGTCAGTTTCGTATACTTGTTCGGGTGTTTTCCCATATTTTCCCGCAAAAGGAATTTCAATATGTTGCGAACCAATATTCAAATTTATTGCTAACATTGCGTTCATTTTTTTAAACCAATTAATTATCATACTTGCTTCACTAGTTAATGAAGAGTTAACGGGGAATTGTAAATCATCTACAATAAATGAAGAACAAGATTGATTACCATTGAAATTGTTAGTTAAATCTGGAGCAATGTATATTGTAAATTTATCTAAGTAATTGGTAATCCTAGTATCTTTTCTATAATGATCTAACAAAAATGTGGCAAAATGTAGTAAGACTTTAGCAGTTACAGGTACACCATTAGTTACACCAGCCACAAAAACAATAGATGGTCGACCTATTTGTTTATTATTATTTTCAGCTCCAATCTCTAAACACATTATTCGAGTACCCTTTCGTGATTTGCCAATAGTATGTAAAATGGATAATTGTGAATATTTATCATTCAGATCAGTTAAAATTTGGTTCACAACGTTTAGTTCACGATCTACACTATACTCTTGATGTTCTGCTTTATCTATATGACCTTTGATCATTGTAATATTCAGGTCTGTTATGATTTCGTCTTTCACGTGAACTTTTATAGATTGTTCCATGTAACCTTCGGAGGACAATGTTAGCGTATAATCGCCAGGAAGAAGAATAATTTTTAAATAAGCCATATTCTTCGAGACATGATAACTTTTCATTCCGATCTTAATTACAGCCTCTCTTAAAGGCATGTTATCGGTATTTGTTACTACTGCGCGAACACCAGTTGTTAAGCCGTGAATAAGTTGCATCAGCGGTAACAAATTTTCACGCCAAATAATTGGAATCAATTCTCCGGATGGATATTTACAGCAAGATAAGTTGATGTTTATCTGAAAGAGAACATTTAATTGTGAAAATATTAAATAATATGCATGATGATTCCAGAAACTAGAACAAGCTGCTGCAGCTTTCTTCCGAGTGAAGATACAAAAAGATTCAATGTTTCTAGTATCACTCTGGATACTATAGTAATAAATTCTTACGAAATAATATTGAAGTATTTTAATAAAAAATATCATATTTTCCACAACAATATATTACTTACTACAGGTATGTTATATTCATTTTGAATATAATTTTCTACTTCCTTAACTTCATTATTAAGAAAATTACACGTCCCTCTATGCATTGAACGTTCATAATTTTCAGCAAGACGTTTATATACATTCAAATTATTGTCTGTATAACTAAAAAAAAAAAAAAAAAAATATGAAACATAAATTACTTTCTTGAATGATGAAAATGTTTGATATAATTAAGACGAAGAATACAGTCAGTAGTACCCACTTAAGTGAGCAAAAGTGCGGTCACTTAAGTGGCCACTACTGTACGTGTTATAAAATTTATTTAAAAAGTGAACATTTTATTACCTAACTTTAGGTGCTCCACTTCCAAACATGATAATTACATCGTACCCTTCATTGGCTAACATTTCTTTGAATGCTTTAGCAATTACATTTATTTTATCAGAGCTAATACTGTTTTTTTGTAATAGTTTTTCACCCACTTCACCTCTCACGATAGGATTACAGTTTTGATTATCTGATATATTATCAAAACCTGGATCTACACCAGGAACAAAATGCAAAACAGTATTATTCAATATCCTCTGTATAGGAGGATCTCCAATTTGATTTCCCATAAGAATGTGGGTTGCTAATCGTAGTAGAATTTCTCTACCCACAGGTTGTGAAGCAAATAGTCCTCCGATTAAACCAATATGAAATTTAGTTTCTTCTGGTGCTCCCATCTATAAAAAATTATTGAATTTTCAATGTTCTACATAGACCTGATATATAAATAATTATAAATATAGAATTCCTCCGACCGAGCACTCACGTCATGTGTAATCTTTAAAGAATGAATGGCCATACTGGCTAATGACTCCCCAGCTTGAAATTCTGCAACGTTTGGTTGATGATTTTCTAATTGACTAAATCTAGCATTTAACTCTGCATTTTTTAAGTAAACGTTTTGTAAATTTGCTATTAAGTGAAAATCATATGCGGATGACCTGAAATTGATATATATATATATATATATATATATATATTTTTATTTAGCTATATCATTTCTTCCGAATACATACATTTATCAATTTAAATGTAAAAATTAGAACTTTAAAAAAAGTTTATATTTTTTTATTCAATGTAAAAATATGAACATTTTCCAAAATAGTTAAAAAATAATACAGAAAAATGAAATAATTATCTAATAAAAAAGCACATCTTAGTAATCATATTATACTCTACTGTCACACTAACAGTGTATACTTTACGAGATGTTAAAATATTTACTTAATGTCTTGCGGAGCTTTTAAATTTCTTCGTAAAACGAAATTCTTATCATTCCTTATAAAATATGATCCCTTTTAACATTCAACGACATATAAATATCATTATTCTGGAAATGTTAATTTTTATAAAAATTATGTTCATATATTCCCTACTTTTACGACTACAAAGAAAGTATCCATTATATGATTATACCAGTGTTGAGGATCGTCTCGCATTAGTATGAAATCCAACGTTATTTCTCCTTCGCCAATATTATTACCGTCTGGTACAACTACACTTTGCATCTGTGATTCATATCCTACAGCGCTAACTGTAACGTTATATTTTCCAGGAACCAAAAGGCGCCAATAATCTCCACCTTGAGCTGCATAAATATCATGCTCAATTCCCTCCACAGATATTTTAGCCCGGGGTACGGGAGTACTGATAGACGAACGTACTACGCCGTGTATTCCTTTGCGAGACTGTGCACAATAAACAACAGTAATTATTATGGCACGTTTCTATTACTATATGTATATTATATTAACAGAAATATAAATACCATTTCGATAAGATGCAGGAGTGGTTCTCTATTTTGTAACCAGTATTTTGGTAATTCAGTTGTATTTGGAAATTTTGTACACCCTACTTCCACTGTAATTTCAAAATCGTTACTATGAACGTAATTATAATCTTGCATGCCTCCGCTCACAGAATACCAAGCAGCTCCATTAGTTATGCCATTTTGAAAGCGTTCTTCGAGCACATTTTGCATATTTAATCGTTCGTTTGGAAGCGGAGGGCATGGCTCTCCCAGATGCATACGAGGATGAGCATTCGAGTATGCTGATGCTAGTGCTTTAAAAACTTGATCGTCCGGACTTAGATTTGGACCATTAGGTGTATACTGCGGTCCATTATCGTATGGATAATTTGCTACTAATGTTCCTCCATGAAAATTAGCAGACAGCACAAATGGAATTCTTGCAATCCAATCCATTATTGCTTTTGTTTCGGGTTCTTGCCGTTTATTGTACTGTAATATAGGAAAAGTAATAATAATAATAATAATAATTAAAGTTAATAAACGATGAATGAAGGAAAATATATTAAACGTATTAAAGATTAAAGTAATTAACGAATTAAAATCCATACATCATTTGTTTCATATTGATCGGGAAAATTTCTGTTCAGATCAACACCCTTGGCATTACTTCTCCCCCATGCTCCATATATATCTCCTTCTTTAGAAATTTCATAGCCATCGGGATTCATACTTGGCAGTACATGCAATCTAACATTCTTAAGTATACTTGTAACTCTATTGTTGATTCCATAGTTTTCACAGAGATATTTTAACAACAATAATAAGATTTCTTTGCCAACTACTTCATTTCCATGCATATTTCCTATATACTTTACTTCTGGTTTATTCGCACTATGTTTTCCAGGATTTTCTGTTATTTCCATTACGTACATTTGACGCCCCTTAACAGACTGTCCTATACTATAGAGTCTCGTAATATTTGGATAATTTGAATTTAATTCCTTCAGATATTTTTCCATAGCTACATAATTATGATGTTTGAATTTCATATTGTGAAAAAATCCGTATTCATCTTCGGGCCTTACAATTTCTTCAACTTTATCCGAATGAAATTGTCCTATATTGAAACACATACAACATTACAGAGAACAGAAATAGAATATATTGTTTATTAAAATTAAAACTGACATGCTGTGTAAACAAATTATTAGTGTTTAAATAAGTAGTAGATTTAAATATACTTGAGGGAAAGTTAGAATTAAATTATAAAAATCATAAAATTAATAGTGGAAAACATACATACATACATACATACATATGTATATTACAACACAAGGTACAGAGAAAAAATAAAAATTCTACATATAAATAGAAAAAACAATAAAATGTATTTAACAATAATTGTACTACTTCATGGATCAAAACTTATATAGGAGAAGGCTGGAAAATATTTAAGTAAACTAACTAACACTGTTTGAGGCAAATATAATAGTTTATTATGTGAATTCCAGATATCATACATTTAGTTCAAATATATTATGTTATACATCAAATTACAAACATGAACGTAAACATCACTCACTGTTTTACATTTTTCTGACACTGTTAATAAAATTACATAACAAATGTTTATATAATATGTCTTGTACCAAAAATGTTTAGAAACTTCATACATTTTTCTAGTACTATTGAAATAAAAATTTATTTGCTCAAATATTTAAAAACATAATCGATAAAAATGTCACAAAATGTATGTAAAATAAAAAAAATGTTGTTCCGTTCATTTATCAAAAAATCATTTACTATATTATCTGCACATTTAAACATTGATTAATAGAAAAGTTACGCATTTTACACAAGAGAGCATTCAAATTAAAAATAAATCACAGTTTACAATTTGTTCGATAACATAACTAGCGTTTAATTAAACATATTTTAAATACTCTATGGCAAGAAGATGATAATAGTTGATGTTTTAAGAAGATATGTTGAATTTCCTATTAATGTTCATTCTATATTATATAATATGATCCCGATTTGCATACTGTATAAAGTACTTGAACCAATTATGTAAAAATATTGTAAATTCAACATTCTATATGATAATATAAGACTTGTTTAAAAATATTTGTTTCTCGTATACATATAACTTAGAATACATAACAAACAGGTTTGAGATTAAATTGTAAAAAAATAGAAAAACGGCAAAAAAATGGTATGAAAAAGTTGGAAAATTTTTAACATCTTTTACTTAATTCTATACTTGAAAGACTTTGTCAGATAAGTCAATAATATTCAATGCAAATAATTATTTTCCTGTAGGTCACAAATTTTGATATAGTGTTTCTCCATACCTTGTGTATATTTTTTTATACTTGTTCGAGCTAATAAAAATATAAACTATGGTAAAGTGTATAAGCATGACAGGTAGTATCGAATAATCTGGTGTTGTTATATTATCGTATCAGTGCTGTAAAATGAAAATGATAACACGTGATTCATAAAAATAATAAATTTAAACATACCCGCGAAAAGAAAATAAGTCTCAAAACATGATATTGCTAAGAAATAAATAATAAAGCGTAGTAAAAAAAAATAACAAACAAAAAGAAAATAAAACAATTGCATGAATTTTATATAAACATAATTAGTACTCCATATTGTCGTAAGTGAGAATTAATTTGTAAGATGCTGGGTATCGATTAGAGAATGGTAGCATTTGAGGAATATCTATATATTGATTACCTTGGTCATCAAAGGCGTCTTGTTTTAAAGTAAAATTGACAATGGTGGGTTGCCCTGGTTCTACGGCAACATTTATTGGTTCGCTCGGTTGATATCTAAAATTGAAAAAAAAATATAATACATATAAAGCATACTTTATTTAATTAAACAAAATTAATGAGAATATTGTATCTACAGTAGTGCCCACTTAGGTGTTCGCGCACTTAAGCGGGCATGGTTACTTCTCAGAATTGAACGGAGATAAGGAATGAGGATAACTGCGAGTGAGATAGAATATAGCTGGCACCACCGAAACCATATACATATGTATAGAATGTATCGATAATGACCGGCGTCAAGTTACGCTTGACAAGCTCGATGTTCGAAGCCGCTTAACTTCCAAGAATTGGTGGGGATAACCGCCGTACATTTAAGTGGGCACTATACTGTATTACTAAAGCATACTTACCCCCATGCTTCTGCACGAATGAAATATTTTCCAGGGAGCAACAAACGCCAATATTCCCCGCGATGAGTAGTTGAAATATTATGATCTATTCCATCCACAACAATAGTTGCTGCTTCTATTGGTTGACCGTACGTGTCTCTTACAAGTCCTATAATTGAAATGCAGATTAGTACATCTTATTTTTATTAAATAGTAAATTATACGTAATAAATATCTAATAACCTTTCACACCGATATGTGCTTGCTCAAGATATTTTATTAGAGATTCCTTATTTAACATCCAATACTCTGGCATCGTCGAAGCATTTGGATATTTGCAACAGCTAAGTTCAAATGTTATTTCAAATGCATTAGAGCGAACATAATTAAAATCTTGCATTCCACCAATAACTTCGTACCTAAAACACATAAACTTCAATGAGATTTTCTAATAAATTAGAATGTTACTTAGATGTTACAAAGTTAAATATTTCTACCGACCAAAATGCTCCGTTTGTAACACCTCCTTCAAAAGTATCTAAAGGACATGTATTGCCTGCACGCATTTGTGGATGATTATCTGCATACGTATGAGCTAAATATTTGAACAGCTCGTTATCTGGACTTTTACTTTCGAGGCAGCAACTTTTTGAAATTCTAAGAAAGAACATTTATACATGTATTGTATAACCGCCGTATTACCAATAAAGAAATCTTTTCCTTATCTCTGTTCAATTCTGAGAAGTAACCATGCCCGCATGAATGACCGCGGCTGGTCCCAAGCATGGTCACTCATACGGGTATGTACTACTGTACATGGAAATATCATCAAGTTATTACCCAGAATCATATGGATAACTGGCTACAACAGCACCTCCGTGAAGATTTCCCGATAATACAAATGGTTCTGTAGCGATCCATGTCATCATAGCTATTGTTTCATTTTGGCGTCCATCTAGTATGTTACTGCCTTTCTGCAGTTGACTGGTTCGTCTATCAAATTGATCTGGAAAATCTCTATTTAAATCTATATGATTTGCATTTTCTCGTCCCGAGAAATCTTTCTTCGACTCGCATTTTCCTTCCTGAAAGGTAAAATATTGAATCGATATACTATGTAGAGCCTTAAATCATAAAGACAAAGACTAACAAATTTAAAGTATTACTTCTGATTTTTCAAAACCATCAGGATTCATAGACGGCATAAGGAAGATATCGGTATTATTCACTAGATTTGTAATTCTTTTATCTTTTCCATAATTGTATAAAAGATACTGGCTTAAATAAACCAACAATTCTCTGCCAACAGCTTCATCACCATGCATATTTGCAACATATTTAACCATTGGTTCACCCAGTTTTCGTTCTTTGACATTTTCCGAAATTTCAAGAACCAACAAATCTCTGCCTTCTACAGACTTTCCAATCGAGAACACCTTTGCCAAATTAGGATATTTGTCGACCAGCGAATCATATAACTGTTTAAGTTCTTCATAATGCGTGTAGTGTGGAGTGATAAAATCCTCCACTAACTTTCCCTCGGATTTTATCGCAAGACCATTATTAATCTCAATAAAGGAGCAAACAAATAGCACAATACTATACGCAATACCGATTTTTACCATATTTGAAAATATATTTGTACAATAGCGTAATAAATTTTTTATTTTCAACAAGCCATTCTACACGATCCGATATATACAACGTCGATATAGCATACTGATGACGATGACGTCCGCAAGTATGTACTTAGGTAAGTACCTATATACATACATACGAGCGTGGGCAGAGTAGGGTAGGAAATTACATTAAGCGATACGCGTCATGTATCCTTCTATTCATATCACAAAAAAAGATTCTTTTCTTTCTGCCTGTTAAAAATAATTCTCAAAGTATTCTCAATTTTGTTTATCTATCATTTGACTTTTAACTAGTTTGTTAGCCTTTAAAGCTACTGTTTTTTTAAACATCGTAATGGTTATGTAAAGTATCATGGACGCTTGATGTACGTACTACGTGCATTGTGTATATGTGTATACATTATACTATATAATGTTCTAAATACTGATAATATTTTGCTTTAAAATTTTTTTAATCCAAACGATCTATGTAAGTACACAGGATGATTCACGTTCTTGTACACTCGACGCCGATCGATTCAGAGTGCAGTTTTTTCGTTGGTTAAGAGATTGCATCGTTATCGCTTGAAACACCTAAGTACTTACGTTAGTGACGATAAGTCACTCATGTCGATAAACGTAACATTGAAATTATAGGAAGTAAATTTTCAAATCATAAAGCAAAATTATTCGTTAACAAATATATAATTTACATAATTATTGTTCGACTCTGAAATGAACGTTCTTAATAAGGTTATTGACGTCATTCATTCATTCTCCTCGTCGATTTATCAGTCAATACATCAATACAATCTTTGATAAATAATTAAACTGTTATTCCACTATACTTGGAAAATATGATGGACATTAATAACAATACACATAAGTTGTATCATGTTTAAAAGCTTTATTTGTACCATTCCTTACATAAATAACATTAAGAATTGTTGCATTTGAAAAAATTGGTAACCTTTTAAAGGAAAGATATAAAAGAAACGAAAATGTATTTTGCATTTCCATTTAAAAGATAATACATGAGTAGTTTATGTAATACATCAACTACACATTGCAGTTAATTTTCGACTATTACCACCTTGAGAATCATCAAAACCCATATTTAATAATAGCCGTGAAAACCTCTACCGCCCCAGTTTCCGCCACCTCGCCTATGTGAATTCATTCCATATCCCCTATTTCTACCACCTCTGTATCCACGGTAATCATTATTTCTTGAAAAGTTACCCCCCCCATCATTTCCAAAACTACCACCTCCGCCAGCATTACCAAAACCACCGGCACGAGGAGCGCCGCGAAAACCACCACCAACCCGCATAAATTTCGCAGGGTTACCGGCATCCGAATTGAAACCAGTCGAGTGACCTCTTGGTGGTCTTCGTGATTGAAAACCACCACCTGTAATCTGTTCTAATTCGTAACGACAGGCATTCATTCCGCATAATGATTTAATTAAACTTAATACCTACAAACAAGAAAACCATATTTGTTAATTTCTGCTATTTTTAATTGTAGAATTTTTTTTCTTTTAAATTATCATAGAACAGTACTTTTTCTTCGATAGGACTTAATTCCAAAATAGTTTCCGGTTCTTTCGCAGCTTTTACAACAAGACTTTCCAAGGCAGGCCGTAAGGCTACTATTGCTGCTGCGTGATTTGGATTCATGTCTAAATTAATCCAATTGTCCAGTCTCACTACATTATCAACGTATTCGACTTTTCGAGAACCAAATAACAAGAGATGTACCGGGGATACCATAGTCATTTGCTTGCAAGATATTGCTCTTGTGCGGATCTACAAGAAAGAATAAAAGTTGAAAAGTCGAAGCGCGATTAGAGATATGAAAGAAGAGTTCTAACCACATGCAACACATTTTACCTTTTCTCCAAATACGAAAAATGGGAATGGAAAATTTTGTTCAAAATTACTGCAGTTCACCGATGTTTTATGGATCAGCGCTCCTTTAGATTCAGTAGTAAGAACCTTTCTTTTTTCTTTATGATAACAAACATTTGGATAAAGGCCCATACATAATAAAGCAGTAATCGTATCAAGACGAACATCCGCGCCGGCTTGATAATTTAATGGTGTAGGACAGAGAGTTTCTTCCGGAAATCCAGCACTTTGTAGAAGTGCTTGCAACTGATTCTATAAATGGAAAATATTATAAACACGCAATTTATGCATAGGAAAATTGTAAACTAATATGTGTATCGAAACGTACGTACCTTAGCTTCCCATGTAACCCTTAATGTCGGTATACTTAAATTTTTTGACTCGCAAAATGATTGCTCCGCATATTCGCCACCGCATCTAGCTTCTTCCCATGCTTGAAACGCGTGTAACATCGCCACATGATCACTATACCTTGCACCGGCAAACCATTTTTGTTGTGCTGTCAATCGTCTGGATTCAGGTCCCATATTATATACTTCTGGAAATGTCGTACTATTTGCAGCCATCGTAGACAGTGCATCGCCAACACGAAATATGCAACCCAGAATCATCATTTTGCCTAACCGTGGCTCTATAGGTAAACGGGCCAATATTTTACCAAGCGGTGTCAATTCATCATTTTTATCTAAACACTTCATCTCTAAAATTAAAGATCGGTTGTTATAATAATAGTACAAGTATCCTTAAATATATGTATAGAGAGAGAGAGAGAGAGAGAGAGAGAGAGAGTAAGAGAAAGGTTAAAAAAAAAAGAAAAGAAAAGAAAAGAAAAACACGTACCACGTAATATGACCTCCGCTTCGATTACAGCATCTATCGGTGGCGGTTCAATTGCCTTTGACAAAAACTTTCCAATACTGCCTAATCGTAGCAACTTAATACTCAACGCTAACTCGTGTAAAGGTGTTCTAAACATCTCGGGAGTCATGTGTTCGTCCATTTTATTGAAACGTGCTTTGGAGCATAAGTGGAAACAAAATCCTGGTCTAACGCGACCTGCTCGACCTTTCCTCTGTTCTAAATTTGTTTTACTGGCCCACACAGTGGCGTAGTTTGTCATGTTATTGTGAGAAGTAAAGAGCTTCATTTTGGCTTTACACGAATCTATTACATACACTACATCATTAATCGTAATGGATGTTTCAGCTATATTTGTGGCTAAAATAATTTTCGTTATTCCTGGCGGTACAGGGTCGAAAACTTTACGCTGATCTTCTCTAGGTAACTGAGAATGCAATGGTATAATTACGTAACCCGAACCTCCATAAATCGGATGCTGTTGTAAATGTTTCATCAATGCAAATATTAAATTCCATCCAGGTAAAAATACTAATACGGCACCTGGAATACCTTGGTCCTTGACATATTTCAAAAGAGCCTCTATAAGTTCAAAACTTATCTCCTTCTCGGTAAGTTGCGCCATAGCGTTCCTTGTTTGTACGGAATAGCCTTCGCTAATAACCTTATTCAAATTTTCATCTGGTTCTCCTTCTGCTGGTATATCATCCGAATCACGACTTTTACGTTTTTTGGAATCCATAGGTGGTACAAAATTCGTTAATTGTATACAATCTTCTAAGAAGTATTGTTGCACAGGATATGACCGGCCCGGTATTTCTATTACTGGACAGTTATTGAAATAATTACTGAACAACGTTGTATCGATCGTAGCTGACATTAGAATGATTCGTAAATCTGGATATAGATGAATCATATCGCGAAGAACCACCATAATGAAATCAGAATTTACATCTCGTTCATGAATTTCGTCGACTATAACGTGCGAAACACCTCTTAAGCCACCTTCCAGTTTCTTCAAAAGTACACCAACAGTGCAGAACATTATGCTGCCGTAAGGTCTTGGCAAACAAGATTCAAATCGTACGGAATAACCAACAGACTCTCCTAAACTTTCGCATCTTTCTACAGCAACTCGATCGGCTACAGACACAGCACTTATTCTTCTGGGCTGTGTAATTGCAATACTGCAAAATCCACCTTGACCCGATGCAATGTAATCATCCAAAATGAATTGACATACTTGAGTTGTTTTACCACAGCCTGTATTTCCTCGAATAATTATTATTGGATTTTCGTTTATAGCATTCATTATTTCCCCCTTTTTCAAGAAAACTGGCAAAGCCGATCTTTCTTTAATACTTTTTTGCATACTATCATCTTGTTGCAATCTTTCTCGTTGTTCGTTTTGCAAATCTTCCGACATTTGTTCTAAAGTCATGATGGCTAACGGTCCTTCGTCTATATTACAACCTGTCCATGGATCCCAATTTTGCTGCGGCGGAGACCAACTTACTACTCCAGCAGGTTGTGGTACAGACGAAATAAAATCATCCAATACTTGATTTGTTACTAAAGAGACAGCAGTGCTAGATTGGGAATTTTCTAATTTCACAAGCGATGCCTATAATACAGATCTGTATCGTGAATATTATTTTCTTACGCTAAATAAGATCAACTTCAGTAGTGTCCACGTAAATGTCCGCGCGCTCGGGATCGGCCGCGGTCATTTAAATGGGCACTACCGAACTAACTTTAATAATTTCGTGCAACAGCTATATTCTATTACCTGGACTATAACAGGTTGTATATCTAAATTTGTTAAAACATCGTGAATTTGACTTTCCAGTTCTGGGGAAATTTTTACTGGATATGGCTTAATTTGTTCCGCTTCTTTATTTTTTTTCAAAGTACCGCTAAACGCCTCGATCACGCCAAGATGATATAATTGCCGAACAAGAGACAAAGCACAACTTTTCGATGCAGTTTGCTTATTAGAACCAGTTTCACGACCAGTAATACCTAAAATTTTTACCCGTAAAATCCATATATGTATTAGGTTTTCCCAGAAATAACGGAGGATCTATCAACAGGATTTAGAAATATTCCAACACACAAAATGTACAATATTTTCCATTGTGTTGTCATTTGACCAGAAGTAAATAAAAATCGGCCTCGGTCACTTTTATACGGGCATGGTGTTACTTCTCAGAATTGAACGGAGATAAGGAAAGAGGATAATTGCGAGTGAGATAGAATAGCTGGCACCACCGAAACCATATACATATGTATAGAATGTATCGATAATGACCGGCGTCAAGTTACACTCGACACGATAACTCTGGTCATTTATGCGGGCAAAAATCCGGTCACTTGTGTGGAGAATATTGTATTTCATTTTATACAAGTGTCATTACTTATGGGAAATACTAATAAAAATAGTTGAATAACTCAACCTACTTCTTCCAAGTTGTTGCACATAAAATGACAATTCAGCCATGAAACTCCTAAAAAGAAGAATGTACATTTTTATTATGGATATTTTATAATTAATTATAATGTATCTAATAGAGAATTATTGCAACATAAATTTAACTTACCACTTGAAAATGTCCAAGACCACATTGGAGCACATTTTATTAAGTTTGTATAATTGGCTGCACCAAAACCGTTATTGAATCATTTCAATAAAAGTTGTGGTTAAACTTCATCTCTATCTGTGCACAAGAGAAAACAATCTTTTCTCTTGTACCAGCATCGAGCACAAGTAAATAGCGTACTCCAGAATGGTCTTGTTGAATTTCAAGTAGTACAAAAATCACTCGTATGATTTCTTCGTATCATTTTAATGGAATCCGGGACTTGAAATAGTATCAGGATATTGTAGTAATAAGTCAGATCCGATGGAAAAATAAACGGCTACATTGACACAACCCATACCTCGTATGATCTGGACCCAGCGGGGTATATTTGTAATCTGCATTAATTTTGCTAGATTGCATAAATTGATGAAGTTTTGATTTAGCATTTTCTATTGTCCAATTCCCATGAATTCCAGAATTTACATCGACGTCTTCCGCATCCTCAACTTTTTTCTGATCTGCTATTCTGTCCATATAAGTGTAATTGCCATGACCATGTTCATTGTATGGTCTATATGCAGGACCTATATCATTCGGTCCCATTCCATCTTGAAACACCGACTTTGACGGGCCGACAGATTCCTGATTACTAGGTTCTGTATTCTGCGGCTGAATATTGCCCGCATCTTTTGGAACATCGTTAGAATTCACATGTCCTGTTCGGACTAAATAATTAATAAAATCTCTAGCTGCATTGCCTTGTGCATCTTTTTTGTTGGTTGAATTTCCTGCACCAACATAATCAAATCCAGGTACGCGTAGTTCGCAAAGAAAACGCTGTCGATGTTTCAGCCCTAAATAAATTACAATATTTTAAATACGCTGTCGAATATTCGTATAATTTTTAATTGAACGTAGAAAACAATTTTTTAATACCTGTTGGTCTCACATCAAACTGTGGTTCCTTGGTAGTTTTCGTGCACCATTGATGAAAAAATGATTTTATGTCACCCATTTTAAGATTCTAGCAATACATTTGCAATATGTATAGCGTATTTATTGAACAAAACCAGAATAACCTATATAGGGATCGAATGAACAAACAACTACCGTGCCTTTGGCGTGTTATAGCAACAACCGGAAATGGAGGTATCCCCACCCCATATTACACAGTGCCCACCTCATCACTTCGATTTATTTAATCTATCAAAGAATTTATATGGCATATAAAAAAAAAGTATTAGTTTTTATTAGAAAAATGTGTGACACGTATTACAAAAAGAGTATAAACAATTACGTGAAATATGTATAACGAAACGGTTCTCTTATAAATTGTGTGCGTACGTTTCGTTATTGCAGATATTAATATATTGTAACAATATCTTGTAATCAATTTTAAAATATGGTATTACAACCCTTATAGAAATGAAATTTTATTTACAACCTTACTTTATAGATATATGTACTTATATACGTATACAATAGATTGCAATTAAATAATAAAACGTGAAAGACATATTAACCAGCTAATATTATACACATAAAAAAATATCACCCTTTTAATTGCGCATACGTGCAGGTATCTATTGGAAATATGCGGTAAACAACTATTCTAATTAAGTATTAATTAAATTCTTTAAGCATTCAAGAGATATGTTCTACGAATAAAACTTTTAATTAGTTGAAATAATTTTTATTAAGCTATTTTAAAATATTATAGGCAATGGGGTTGATACTGTAGCGAGCCTCGATGATTGTGCAAATTTCGGACTGCGAGGCGATTTATGTAACTGTGATTGCATCGATTGAGGAGTCGTTGTTGTAGGTGTCATTACGGATGGTAAATTTTTTCGCAATGGTTTAACAGGGGTTCGCGTGGGTGTCTTTATTCTTGATTTAGTTGCATTTGTCAATACTTGTTCTGGTAATAAAGAACTTCTTAGTTCTCTTTTATCTTCTAAATGTTCTTTAAATTCGCTATACGTTGTATCAGTACCGGCTGAGTTTTGTAACACAACAGAATTTTCTTTTTGTTGGCTACCTTTGACTGTTTTCTTTCCAGACTGTAAGATTTTTCTAGCAGCTTTTACGCTTCTCCTTAGTCTAGATCCACCGACACCTCCACTAAGATTTCTACGTTTTGCCGATGCATTTGGAGACGGAGTAAATAATAACTTTCTCTTTGATGTACTCAACGGTGTATGCCGACGAGTAGTTAATATACCGGGTGTTCTCTTCGATGTATTTATAGCATTTCTTTTAGAAGCGCTCAATGTTATTTTTTTCACTGATTTATCTTTCGCCTCTTTTCTAGCTTTCTTTATTGTTTCTTTTTCTTTGTTGAGGTGTTCCCATGATTCTTTCAACAATTCCTCTATTGGAACTCCATTTATAGTGAACACCTTTTTATGCATATCCTCGTACTCTTTTATTAAACTCTTCAGTTGTTCTTCTATTTTTGGCAATTTTTTCTGAATCGTTTTACGCTCCTTTTCTTCCATTAATAATTGCCCACCACGATTATAGAAACGGTCTGGATCATCTGCTCGTTGCAACAGTTCTTTCATTTTTTTCCACAAGTTATCACGTTCTTCTAAAAGGTGGAATATAGGCTTAAAGTTTTTATAAAACTCCTGTACCCTTTTTACTTCAAGCTCGTGTAATGTCAATAAATCTTCTGTGTACGTTTGACAATGATAATAATGAAATTGTTCTCTCTGTTCTTCGCTAAATTTGCATAAATCCCATAAATTTGTCAATTCGGTTCTTACTTGTGACACGTACTTTGCAATATTTTGTTTTCTTTTCTCTTTACATCGTGCTAATTCTGCTTCTAAAGCATTTATAGTCGCCGCACTGTACCCTACGTAACTATTAAGAAACGACTGACAAATACGTTCGGGTTCGTTAAGATACTTCCACAGTGCATTTAACTCCTGTTTAATATCCTCTACGTGTTCTTTAGCTTTATCTACTTGATGTTTAAGCTCATCTTGAAATTCCCTCAACTTTGTCATATTATTGTTATTAAAAACAAAGTTTTCTGCATCTTTGTATATAAAATGCTCAAAATTTGTAATCGGAGGTATGCCCAAGTCATCCATCATTCTGACGATTGTTCTGCGCATTTCCTTAAAAACAGATTCTAACCGATTCTTCTCATCTTCTTGTTTCTCAAGATAAAGTTTGAAACTATTTAGTTGTTCCTCTGATGGCAATTCTTCCTTTATATTGATCGGTTGAGTACCCAGTACTTTGCAAAGAGCATTCTCCTTTTCAAGCAATTCCTTCAACAGTGTCAACCTCTGATCCTTACAATATTGTAACTTGTGTAAATCAGAGCGTAGCACTTGCTCTACCTGTTTCAATGAAAAATTTTCATACCCACTGGTATTTACCTCTCTTCCTAATTCCTTGCTTATTACGGAAATTTGGTCCATTAGTCTTGTAACATTGCTTAATATCGTTTCTTTTTTCTGTTCCGACTCTGAAACCATATCTTGTAAGAGATCACTTATGTGGCAAAATGCCTGTTCACAATATATATTACGGGCATCTTCCGTAAATCCTATCTCTTCCCATATTTTGTGTAATTGAGATAATGTATTTCGAAGTTTTACCATCGTTTTCTGTATCGTCGGTTCCCATTTAGACAAATCAATCATTTTTATATTTTCTTTATATACAATTTAAAGAACAATTACACGTTTAACGTTGAACAGAATGATTCTAACAAAAATACGTTGTACTATTTGTATTTTAATGAAGTATAAAACGTGTCGGTACGTGCTGTACGAAAACAAATTTTACTCGTCAGACAGGATTGACCGTTGTTCTTTTGAATTCATATTCTACAGCAACGCCATCGCGCATAAGTACTTACTTGTTCTTACTTTTTACTAGCTTACCCGCCTTTTACTATAGTTACATTGTGAACCGACATGGACGTTACCAACCCCTTTTTTAACCACGTCTTTCGGATTGGTCAAACATATATTACAGGTGAATAACGTAACAAAATTAAATACTTGTTTTAATTTAACAAGTGACTGAATATGATCGTTAAATTAAACAAAATCTTAGTAGTCGTGATAACTATTTAGAAGAAGTCATAGTTTAGTAATCATTCTAGAAATATTTTCGATATACATATGTATTCTGTTTAATTATAGTTGGAGAAATCAATATCAATATCATAGATCTATAAAATATATTCACGGTAGATGAAAACGTTTTTAATCAAAGTTTATAGGAAATATTTTTACGACTGTACATTGTACTTCATTCATATTACAATTTTATTCTTGCATTGTACACCTATATAGATTGCACGTCACGCTATATGTAGATTAATTGATATTAATAATAACGACTAAATAGTTTGAAGAAACAATACAACGTGTACATATATAATAATTAAATAAATAATGAATGAAGCGTTTATAACGACGTATTTATTATGAACAAGTTAAAGCACTCCGTTATAGTATGGTAGTTACGGCTTAGGTTAGAGTCGCTTGTAAATACCGTACTCGTAAAGCATTGTGTAAAAAGCACGATAGGAATTGACTAATCAGTCGAAATAAAATTAATTAAAACATGAACAATGATAATGAGGAAAATTCAGACAATGATGTCCTAAAACATGCCAAGAATGCTGTATTAGGACATAGTTCACGATTACCGAATGAAACACCTACGGTGCAAGGTTTCCAACTTTCTTACAATCTTTTAAATAATTGTAAATTTACAACGTTTTGCCAGAATAAGATTGATATGTTTCAGGATATGATTGGAACAAGGGAATTGATTATCATGCATTGTTACAAACATACAAAAATTCTGGATTCCAAGCAACAAATTTTGGTTTAGCGGTGGATGAAATTCAACAAATGATAAATGCTCGAAACATTCCTCTTGCAGATGATCAAATCGATCCGTCGGAAGACGATGAATTTATAAGGAGAAAGTCTTCGTGTACAGTATTTTTAGGATATACATCTAATATGGCTTCGTGCGGAATTCGAGATACTATAAGGTTTCTTGTACAACATAAAATGGTTAGTATAAACATTTAAATGTATTATTTTTCATTTTGTTTATATCTTACAGCGATATGTATCTATATTATAGGTAGATTGCATTGTTACTACAGCAGGTGGTGTGGAGGAAGATTTGATCAAATGTTTAGCACCAACTTATATAGGAGATTTTCATTTATCAGGAAGACATTTACGAAAACTTGGTATCAATAGAATAGGAAATTTATTAGTACCTAATGATAATTACTGTAAGTTTGAAGATTGGCTTATGCCTAAATTAGATGCAATGTTGGCGGAACAAAAAGAAAAAGTATGTATTTAAAAGAAGAAAATCAGGTATCCATTTTTCAAACAGGATATTACATCAGAGTATGATTTTCAGGGTATCCTATGGACACCATCAAAAGTAATAGCTAGATTAGGCGAAGAAATTTATAACGAAGATTCAATTTATTATTGGGCAGCAAAAAATAAAATTCCAGTGTTTAGTCCAGCTTTAACAGATGGTAGTCTCGGCGATATGATGTATTTCCATTCTTTTAAGAATCCAGGACTTGTTATAGATATAGTGTCAGGTGGCAATCTGTTATAAATTAAAATTTTCTTTAGCATTTAGTGTGTTGTCCACATAAGTGACCGCACTTTTGCCCGCTTAAGTGCCCGCGATTATCCCCACCAATTGTTGGAAGTAAAGCGGTTTCGAACATGGAGCGTGTCGAGCGTAACTTGACGCCGGTCGTTATCGATACATTGTATGTATATGTATATGTATATGTATATTGTATGGTTTCGGGTGCCAGCTATTGCATCTCACTTGCACTTATCCTCTTTCCTTTCCTTTTTCTCCGTTGAATTCTGAGAAGTAACCATGCCCGCATAAATGACCGCGACCGGTCCCGAGCGTGGTCACTTATGTGGCCACTACTGTATTTCATTGAACAATGTTTTCCACATTACAGATCTGAAACGATTAAATACAATGGCGATGAAAGCAGTAAAAAGTGGAATGATTATTGTAGGAGGTGGCATTATAAAACATCATATTTGTAATGCAAATTTAATGGTAACAGGAATACCGAAAGAAAGTTACCAATAGATTAATCAATAATAAACTTTATTTTAGAGAAATGGCGCTGACTATGCTGTATTTATAAATACAGCTTCAGAATTTGATGGAAGCGATAGCGGCGCTCGTCCGGACGAAGCCGTTTCGTGGGGGAAAATTCGTATAGATGCAAAACCAGTGAAAGTAAGGATTGTTTAGGAAAATTGATTTCTCATAGATACCTAATGTTTTTTATCTGTTCATGTACCACTCCACCAGGTTTATGCAGAAGCATCTCTGGTGTTTCCGCTACTTGTAGGTGAAACGTTTGCTCGACATTATCATTCCTCGAAAGAAAGAACTGTATCGGACGTCTAAGTAATAAAAATATTTAATTCTTAATAAACATAATATCACGGTTACTTTCTCTATCCTTCTTGTATACACTCGTCAAATATTCATCGAAGATAACTTTTGTTCTACGTTATTTCTATTTATCTGGTATTTGGTAAATTTGTAAAAATGATTGTTAGCACTTTGGCGGTATGACGCCTGCGCAACGGCAACATTTCCGCGAGACAGGTGTCGGCGGCGCAGGGTTGCAGGCGTTGCACGGTGGTTGCCGACGGTGGGGGTAAACTGGATTCTCAGTTGTTTTCCGTAAGTCCGCGCTCGTGGACGGGCGCTCGAAACCAACCCCCAACCCCTTGTCTAGCTCCCCGACTTTATGGTTTCTGTTCCCGCGGGGTCGGACGTCGAGAGGGCCGGCGGGCCTCACAAATCAGCCATCCTCCGTTCGCCATATCCCTCCTATTCTCATTCTCGTTGCCGCCGTTAAAATAATTCTCCGTTATTTCTGACGTTCACACTGACCCGTCGTCGTCGTTGTCGTCGTCGTCGTCGTCGTCGTCGTCCTCGTCGTCCTCGGTATGAATGATGATGGACGTGGAGGAAACCAATACCGCCTCCAACGCGAGTTCCTCACCAAGACCCTCCAGTCCTGCGGCAGATTCAACTTTCATCAGGTAAGGATTAGAAAGTTCCGTGTCTCGTTGTCAGGGGTTAGGGTGCGCGTGATTCGAACGACGGGTAAATAGGAACAGAGACGACTCGGTTGTTACTGGAAGTATTTGGACAATTTTATTATTCCGTTTAAACTGTCCTTTGCATACATCGTATAAAAAGTTGTAAAACGTTTCTGCTATTCCGAGAGATAGAAACATACATTAGGAGTGTAAGGTATAAGCATAATCTACATCGAAAGGTTTAGAACTCAACGATGGTAATTTTTGAAAGAAATCAATATTTACTTTGTTTACTAGTTTCGAGAATTTTAGTTTAAATTCATTCGCAATTACTTGGACAATTTATTTTCTATTCCATGTATCTGCCCACGAAAAAGATCAACTCTAGATCGGGAAGACTCTCTATAGTTGCTTATTACAAGAACGTAGATTTCTCTCTGTAACGGTACTCTTTTCTTCCGCTGCACCTTCTCTGAATTATCAACCTATTTCTACCAGCATCCCCTTCTTCGTTTTTTCGCTACACGAAAATCCATTTCCATATCTTTCCGTGCCATCTCCACCCGCTCATCGTACAATCTTTATTTCAAAATGAAAGTTTTCTCCCGCGGCGCGAGCACGAGGTGTATTTACTATATTGCCAACGTCTTTTCCTCTTTACGCGCATACTTTCGACGCACGTAATTACTGTTAACTATGTATCTAGGCAGAGAACTTGCGCGAGATTCTCTATTTTCGTACTTCCCTCTGCAAAGTGTAGCAACCGTTCATTGTGGTCTTCTATTATAATTTATTAACGTAGATTAAAACATTCATGCCGAGCTTCATACTTTTGCGTTTATTTACGCAGCATGCAACGTAAGACTTTGCTATACACTGGATTCATTATTCATGAAATTATTTGTTCGTTTGAGAAACGGATATTTTCTTTGCCATTGCATTGTTCATATATTCTTTTGGTGGGGAAGAGGCTTGGAATTTGTGAGGTAATTTTTTCAGGGGGTATTAACGTGGCATAATTTGTGAACGGACCCTCGTGATATTTCCATACATAATATGCCATCTTTGGTCAATACATAATACCGTTTGCCTTTCCCTGCGATTCAAGGCACTGGAACGTTACATGTACATATGTAACAATAAAGTCGTTCAGATTCGCTGGAAGAAAATTGTAGCTATCTCGGTAGTAACTGAAATCGATGACAGTAATCGCATCGAACTTCAGCAGTAGTTACCAAGATTTAAAAATACTGAAAATGTTATCTGGTATTTGTAACGTGTTTGGTATTGGCGCGTAACACCACAGTGCATACTAGAGAAGAAAAAAAATTCTTAAGCGATTACTGTTGCGCAACTATTGCGCATCATCAAACGTATTTTTGCATCCTTTTTCAAATCGTAAGTGTTTTATTGTTGTTTCGTGGACGAGTTTACACGAACTGATCGTCGTTCGAAAATTCTTTTCCCATTGAATCGTCCATTAAATTAAATCGTATATTTGAAATGTACGGTTCCGGTAGAATAAATTATGCTCGATCTTAGAGATGCAGCTCACGTTTCTGATTACGTTCCAATTCGTCTCTATTCCCCTGTCGAACTTGCGGATCCTCCGAATACATTTATTTGCAGATTGGGGTAGCGCGGCACGCGCGATTCACCACCTTTGGTCACGGATATTTTCGGCCGACCCCTTTTCTTCTACTTGATCGAGGATAGTAATTATCGACGCCACTCGGAATAACGAGACTTGGATGTTTCGTACCGATAGTGTCTGTCATCGTCGCAAGTAAAAGTGCTAGTGGCATCGGTTTGCCGCTCGATAATACGTACTTCGGCTTCCGAAATAGGATATCTATTCATAGAGGGACTGGGTTCCCCTCCAGATGCCGAGGGTGTCGATCCGTGTCTCATCCTCTTAGATCTATCGGTTATTGATGGACCTTCGATCCTCTTTGAAGAAGCCTCAAAGACGCCAGGGAAATATTTGCCCCAAGAATTTTCCAATCTGTCGACTCGGGGATCTTAGGTCGTCAACGTGAATGTGAATGGCTTTCGAAACGCGACGGCTCACTGTATTACGATCCCATGTTATTTTTTATAGCGTGATCCCGGTACCATACCGGCAATCAGAAAATAATGATTCCAACTCGTTGACATGGTATTTTTACCCACTAGTGGGAGACTAGATTCGTTGTTTATCGTTAGCATGATACAAGATGATTAGCTGGATGCAAGTGTATCAACCATACGTCGTCGTGGTCGTTTAGCATCGTTTAATCTTCATAGACGACACGGCGCGGTGCGGCGCGGTGCGGCGCGGTGCGGCGTTGAGAAACCATTAGTATCTAAGAAAAAAGAGCAAGACCAGACTGCGGATCGATCGATGTAATTTATATTAGATCGCATCTGATTGGGCAAGTGGGGAGAAATGTGAAAAACGTATCGGTAGGAGATATCGTTAAAGTTAAAATTGATGCGGACGTGACGGTGCGCAACGACACATCTTCTTCTCGTCGAGGTCGTCGCGTAAAACGTACAATTTAGACCCGAAACAATTAATCCTCGATTTTTTCCCATCCATTCATTTCCCGTTTCGGCCGGCTTAAGCGAAATAAGCGCCTTCGCGGTGCAAATTGAACTGAAAACTGGGGCAACCCTGATTGCTCGGATCGAGTCAGGGCCGTAGTCAAAGGACCTCTTCTACGCGCAAACAGACCCCCACACGATAAGGAGGGATCCACGAACAAAATGATTCGGAGGACTGTACGACCCTGGCTCGAGGACTCGATCGTGATCTCGATCTTGGACTACTTTCGGCTGATTTCCACTTCCCCTTTACCCCCTTCGATCGAATACATAATAGATGTTTCCATTTCAGTGTGAAGAGGGAGCCGAGCACGGAAGAACCCAGCAGCCCTCTCGAGGCAACGAGTCCCGGTTCCATCCTGCGCAACAACAACGGTGAGTCTTTATTATAAACGATCTCGTCGGCACTCCGGTCCAATTTGCGCAAGCGAGCTGCCCTTGCGAAACGAACGGTGACTCGTGCCGAACTTATCCGATATTCTTCGAACGAAGGGAACATTGTTCCCAACGAGTCTTAACAAGACAATGTCACTTGTTGCACTTTCATTAACAACAACTACTTCTCTTGTTGTCTACGTCAGACCGAGAATAATAATTACAAGCGAAGCTTCGTTGAAACAATTATTATCCTGTTTCAACAAATGGCGCCACTAGTTTGTATGAAAAAAGTTTGCTACTTTTGGGACAAATCGTCTGTTTTCGTCGGGTGTAGCGAGAATATTGGCAAACACTTATCGACTTTTCTTCGCGAGAAACTTTTGTTTCCGTCGTCAGGCATACTACATATACTACCGACGTTGACACGATTCTCAACCGACAAGTTCTATTATTATTCCCGACGAAAGGTTTCGTGTTCGTTTCGCCGTTTCTTGATCTCTCGAAATCGACAATTTTCGCGTCCGACGATCGCACGAACTGCCCCAAACTAGGACAATTGGATCCAACGCGTTGGAATCGCGATCGCTATCAATAGGCAGGCAGGCAGGCAGGCAGGCAGGCAGGCAGGCAGGCAGGCCCTATCGTTCAAAATAAATAATCAAGAAAATTGTATGCTCTTGTAATAATGAGTTTATGCTTTGGCGATGGAATAAACAAGAGCAGACGGAGCACGTTAGTAACCAAGTGGCGTAGTATTTTCTCGATCTCTGAGAGAACGTATCGATAGAAATCGGTCTTGAATCGGTATTCAAGTTAATGAAATGCTCGAGAAAATCCGATTTTCTACATGTCGGCCGGCTAATAACTGCAGAATTTTGATTGATCGTACGGGCTAGGAGGAATCGAGGCTCGCGATAGGAGGTTGACGAATTAATAACCGGCCGCGCGCGTTTGAGCCGTTCGGGATAACAAGTGTCCTCAAAGCTCGTTCACCCGTACTTGACACGTACATGCCTAGCACGAGCCTCCGACCCACGACCCAGTTTACCCCCGGGGAGTTTGGTCTCTCGACAATGTTAATGCCGGCGTTAATCTAAATCCAATCGCAGCTACGTCCTTCCATGTATCCACGATAATCTTTCGCGCAGCGATAAGTGCGGAGGGGTAGAGAAACGGGGAGAGCTGAATGAGAACCGCTGACCAAACCCCAGTGGGATGAGACTCCAGCTGTAGCCGGCGTTGGATCGATTCAAAAGCGGCAGCAAAGCGCCCCACCCTATTATGTGTTTTCTTCAACCTCCCCATCCCCCTCTCGCCATCCACCTCCCCCTCTCCCACCTCCCACCTCCCACCTCCCTCCCACCTCCCTCCTCCTGCACCCTGGTATCCTAGCTCTGCTACTTCTCGCGCTAAACCAC